GAAGGGCTAAAGCAGAGCAAAGATCCTGAGAAACCAGAGTCAGCTCTTAAAGGCAAATTTGCAGAGTAGATTGGGAGGATGGCATGCTTGCTAAGGACATGCTTCAAACACCGCTATGTTCACATTGTCCTCTTAAGCAAAGAAATAGGTCATTGGAAGGAATAAATGGGAAGCTTGGTGTGTCTTCTATGCTTTCCCTGTCATTAGGACTTGATGCATACAACTCTTCATGTAACGTAAGTGTTTGTAGACCTCTTAGGCACATGTAAATTGCATCCGCATGTAGGAATAAGTGATAAAACAGGTTATATGTGAGCATGAGATGTGGGGTCTTGCAGGGACACACTGAAAAGACTCGCAGCTTAGGGGCATCTTGTACTGCATATAAGTGCAGCTCATTGTGCTGGTTTGCACCCACAGGCTCACTTCAGTGCATTTTTTATTTGTATAGTGGCTTTTGGTTAGAGAAATTCTGCAAGTCATACAACAAACATGCAGAAGGTGACCTCAGATAGTAGGAAGTATCACTATTAAATGCTTTGTAACAAATTTGAGTCTCCTCTTCCAGCTGGAAACTTTAAGGAACCCTAGTTTATAATGCTTGATGCACTAGTCCAGGCTGGTCATAGAACCCTGTTTGCCTTTTCCTCCTTGTGACTTAGTCTACACGGCACTGCCTGTGGAATTCATAGGCTGACAATTTGAGATAATTTACCTCTTAATAGACCAGGTTTAGAACCTAGTTACCCTGATCTTATGTTTTTCATAAACATTAAATTTATATAAGCAGAATATGGATGTCTTTTCAGGTTTCACAGCAGATATACCAGTATAGAGAAATATGACTTGATTCCAAGCACCTCGCTGGTGAGAAGATAGACATTTGGTGTCTTCTCCACCCTGACCAGTTTGGTGGTGCTGTGTTGGTATCCTTTCTGGCCTCCCTGAGGGTATAAAGCCAGCTCTTGGACTCTAAACCACTGGTAAACCCACAGTGGGCAGTGCTTATCCTGAATTCAGGAGGTAGAACCGACTTTGGCTTTCAAGGCACTTGTCTGTTTGGGCTGCACAGGTGAAAGACACATAAATTCCCCATGTAAGGAGCCAGCACTAGGCAGCAAACAAGGAAAGAGGATGAAATAAGTGTCTAGGATGACAACACTGTAAGAAATAACTAGAAGTTAGAATGAACCATGTCACATGCGAGACAAGCCAGCAATGGGCAGAAAACCACTTGAGGGGAATGTTGTTTCTCGATACCTAGCATACTGTTCTCCAGAATATCTTTTAACCTTCTAGTTGGTTCAACTCCCTCAGTTTCCTCTTACCCTTTAGGGAAGCTTGTATCCAGATGGATATATGCTTTGGTTTAAGGTCCCTGTTCATGATTACTGGTGACCAGAGAACTCCCCCCGCTTTTTTCTTAATACAACAAAAAGCATTGCAATGCATGTCGGAGGGGCCATCAGTGTAGAGCTGCCAGCCCCTCTTCAGGACACATTGCTGAGTTCCCTGTAACTTAAAAACTTAAGGATGAGGGACTCTAAGCTGTAGTAGCTGTAAAGTACAGAGGCCTTGCTGGATGATGATTGGTATCAGGAACAAAGAGCAGTAGAACTAGAGAAGTGGAAAGACAATGGAATCAGGACCCTGAGTCTCCAGGGATGGCAAGTTGTGGGACGGTAAACACATGGTAGATAAAGGCTAGTGAGTAAAGCTGGACACATTGTTTTAATGAGTGAGCTCTCCCTGTATCTGCTGCTTCATTGCCTTCTGTTCACAATGATGTACTTCAGCTTACAGATTTTCTGGGGTGGCCTATAACAGTCTCCTGTGGTGTGTTAAAACTATGCTGCTTTTCCTTCCCCGTTGTCTTTGATGTTGTCATCTTTATCCTCTTAGCATATTCCAGGAACAACATATTCTAGGTCTGGGGGTGGGAAAGTTCATGCTGGTAACAGGGAGAGAAATTCTCCTGAGACTGACATTATTGAAACTGCAGGCAAACCCAATCCTTTGCATTTGAGGAAAGGCGTTTGCTATGAACCATACACCATCACATGATCTAGAAACTTGCATCAAGAAGTCTTCAGTTAGGAAGGAATGAAATGTGAATCTATATAGCCTTAGTGTGACTAAGTCTTGCAGTCATCCTTGTCTGTGATGCCAACACGACCACCTGAGCTGACATTGTAACTTTGAATCTATTAGTCCCTTCCTCCGTTACTCATCTTTTTTGAAGCCCTGCTGTTTTGGTCACTGCCAATCAAATAAGATGACAATTTGGCTCCCTGTGGTGGTTCAGGGGACTCCTTCATACCTTCACCATGAGCCTCCCACATGGTTTTGCTTTCTGTAAGCAAAGTCACGAATCTCAGACAAACTTGTTGTCTGTTCATTGGCCATCAAAGTAAATTGTGGCACCAGTTCTGCAAAATATTGTACCTCATCTTTTCACTTGATTGGTGGGAGGCAAAATGTTGGGCAAGCGGGGATTAGTGTTTTACAACTTGGTTTCGGACAAGCTTTGATTTACTCGTTTGAGGAAGATAAACTTGGTCTGGGCTTCTTCAGCTTAACATCTGCCATTGAAGAAACACTGGGTTTGTCTTGTCTCAGGTTCCTCTTTGACTTAGAACCTAGGTGAAAATCCAATTTTCCTTGAAATTCTTGCTGCTGTGGTTGAGTCTGACATTCAGAAAAAACAAGTCAGTGAACAATGTTTGGTAGAAGCTCTAAATGAAATGGCAGCAGCATGCACACTGGAGGATTAGCTGAGTGGCATCATGATAAAGAACATCTTTGAGAGTTATGTGGGTCTCAGTCACTCTGAGTTCAACGATCCTCCAATAAAAACAGGTGAATCCTGAGCTTTGGTCAGTCTTGGTTCCTCTGGCCACTTTGGTTCTGGATGTTCATTGCTGAGCTGCTCTGTGGGGCATCAATGGGAGCCATCAGTAGAGAGCCTCAAGGAAAGTCATGAGTTCAGTTGAGTCAAGAGTAGAAAGATACTGTTCATAGAGCATAAGACCAGAACTAGGATCCAAAATAATTGGCCCAGAGCAAATGGGAGATAGTAACTTGACAAATCTTGAAATACTAGGATTGGAAGAGGGTGAGGACTGTTTGGAAGAAAGGATTCATATATACCTCAGATAACAGATATGGAATACAGTAGTATCCATCGTGTTAGGGCAACAGAGGAATGGGCCTAGTTATCTCCCTCACTTAGATGGTCTCCCTTTGAATGGAGTAGCCTTGGGGAGTGTCGAGGGGATATACAAACTTGCTTTCATGCCTGAATTTAGTGCTTCAGTTTTAATTAAAGTGAAACATCTTGACTGCTAGCTTTTGTCCTCCTACCTGCAGATACCAAAGTGGGATTGGGTGCTCAAAAGCTTTGAGGGTGGGAAGAGAGCCCTGTGAGGGAAATTGAGGAGGGAGCTGAAGGAGTCTGGGAGGATCAAACCACAATGCATGCAGGTCTTACCTTCTCAAGAAAGGTTGGGTAGGAAGTGACTTAGACTAAGGAGTACAATACTAAGTTTTGGCAATGCAGATGGAAAGTCCCAGGGCCCAACTTGACCATTTGAAGTTCCGGGTGTCCTAAGTGGGCTGACATAGCCTGCCAGCTGCACTGAAGCATCAGCTGGAAGTAGCATGTAGGAAGTGTGGTGTTCTAATGGACCCACAGTTGGCCCCTGTGCTGCACAGATCTGCATCTGCATCCCTACAGCAGTCCACAGAGCAGTGACTCCGTGTTCACAAGCCTTTATTTTTGAGAGGAAAATCACACAGGAAGATGGTAGAGGGAAGAAATGCAACTCCTGTGGCTGATGTGGACCTTGGCTCACAACTGCTTCTCATCTTCCACTTCCAAAAGCCACCCTGAATTCCCTTTGCACTCAGCTTTTACCATAGCTGAGGATTGGTGCTGACCTGGTGGTGTGACCCACACCTTCATCTTGAGGTATTTCAACCTCTAGTGTGAATAGATGCTTAAGAGAGGGCTGTTTAATATCTTTTACAATGGGACAAAGAAATGAGATACTCAAGTGGAACACCTGGGTTCCATCCACGTTCCCTACTGCTCCAGTGTGCCCAGTCTCCTGCTGGTCATTCTGTTGCCCTACCACAAGGATGACTCAAAGTGGCCGGTAGCTCACTTGAAGCCGTAGAAAATGAGACCATTTTTCCTCAACTGTAGGTTTCAGCATCCCTGTTGTCATTCTGCAGGCTCTGTAATGTAGTACTGCAGCATGAAGGATGATACTCCAAACTCTGAGCATGTTCACTCAGTGCTTCTGCATGGCTTTCAGATTCTCAGTGCTGAGGTTACCTGATTTAGAATGGTGTTGTATGGTACCAGGTTACCTCATGAGTAGGAGTCCATTTTGTACCACTTCTTTCTGATCCCAGTTTATTGGTGACATGTTTACTGTGTGGAATTGCATGTCTGTGGAAGGAGCATTATAAATGATCCCAGATGGTGGTGGTGGTTGAGGATCCTCAAGGAAGAAAGGGAAATCCATAGTAATATAGTTATCTATTCCTGTATATGGCTGGCTCTTCTAAATGCAAAGGGCTCAATGTAATCAACTTGCTGCCAAGTGATATGTTGGTCTCCTTATCCGAGTGCTATATGGGGATACATTTGTCTGATAAGCTGTGCATTCAGAGGCACTAGAGTATCTTTAGAAATGGGCATTGCATGCTGTTGGGCCCTGTGTCACCTCCATGTCTGTTGCCACTATGGCCTGTATTCATCTGCTGGTTGGCTGATAACTGGCAGTCATTTTGTCTGGGTGTTCAGTGAGTTTTCTTTGGTTGGTGCTCTGTAGTGAGTCTTCACATGTGAAATGAAATTGTCATGTCTACATGCACACACCTTTTCAGACTGCCTTGTCTGACTTTGTAGTCCTTCTGCTTCTGGTCTATTGATCAAGTGGTCAGGCCATGGGCTCTGCTGTAGATTCACAGTAGATTAATTTGAGCTGTCATTTACTTAAAGGTGAGGGCCTGGGGGCATTTTTATTGGTGTTATAGCCATAGAGCACAGCCAAGAGGCTTTAGAATTGGAAATAGTGTCCTCACTTAGCAATTCTAACAAGTTTGCCTTTAATTCCAAAACGTTACTAGTTTTCCTAAGCTAAAACTCACGAAGAATATTGCTTTATGACTCAGGAATATACGTGGCTTGGTGGCTTGGCTCTTCTAATAAGGAGATTAAAACTATGTAGAAAATACATTTTGATTCTCAAAGTTGAAAGCAGGCTGGCCGTGTTATTCTCAGTACTGGTCAGGAATGTCTTGGCCTGCTTGCAAAGCCATGAGCCAAGGGTCAAGAACACGAGGAAGAAATACCTGCTGCATTGAGCTGAGGGTGGAGGCAGAAATGGGTTTCTTGCTCAGATGGTATCTTCTTACTTCAATCCCTCTTCCTTTTGGACAATGTGAAACTTCCTTTTGTTCTTGTCTTTAGGATGGAATTGAAATCTGTTGTGAGTTTAGACCTTTATCTGTTTCACAAGACTCCTTGTATTGAGCATGAAAACTCATCTTTCCCCCTTCCCTAATCAGAGTTCCCAGGCTTAAAGCTCCGGGAGATTTATGTCCAAACACACTCATGCTTGGAGGACGTACAACAGCCCTGCCTCCTAGCCCCTTGTCTCAGTGTCCCCAATTTGTATCTAGAGTTGAACTATGTCACAAGAGTCCTAGTGTACAGACAGGCCTATAATTGATGGGGGATAGGAGGCCCTGGCCTGCCAACTACGGCAGCCGACTGCAAGTTCTGGAGGACCAGCTGTACCTGTATGTTCTGGGGGCGTGGCCAGTGAGTTACATTTGGTGTTACAGGTTATGGAATGGGATATCGCTCTTCTGTGGCACAACTACACATTCTATATTTTCCTTCTAAATTGGTCATCTTCTATTGTGTGGGACAGGCTAGAGTATATGTTAGAGCCTTGCCCTTGGTAAAGGTTGCCTGGCACTTTGTCTTTTGGGGAACCAAGAGTTTCTTTCTGTTTTTTAATCAATGAGGGACCCAACAGAGATCTCCATGTGAAAGCAAGCTTGTGCTAAAGAGCTAAACAGCACTTGTGCAGACCCCTCAGTGGTTAGCTTGCTGTATGAAGGAGATAGCTTTGGAGTCCAGGATGAGCCCACAGGACACTGCTAGTTACTGACTTGCTGACTTCTGTGCCTCATGAGATATGAGTGGTCCTGTGCATCCCTCCCAGGGTTTCTGGAAGTGCAGGTGGATGTGGAAGAATCGGACAAGTCCCAAAGGTAAACTGCAGGGGCAGAAACTCTGGGACCTAATGCATTGTGTTGGCTGGAAGAGAGCAGCACTCATACAGTGGAACAACTTGACACATTCAGTGACTTCAGGGAGGATCCGTACTCAGAACAATCCCTGAAAATGCTTGGAGAGGGGTTGGGGTCCTCAGACGAGCAGCTTTCCTGACATTGCTGAGAAGAAAGAATGGGCAGTGAGTGGCCTGTTGGCCTGCTAAGTACTTTGCACTAAAAAAGATAGGAAGGCCTCAGAAGCGGTATCAGAAACAATGTCACTCTCTGACCTTCTGTTATTCTGTCTGTTTTTTCTTTCCAAGGCAGTCACAGAAACTTGACTTCCTCTTACTCAAGGCAAGTCATAGAAACTAGAAGCCCTCTTCCCCAAAGCCAGCTGTAAAACCTGGAAAGATTATTCACTTTCTCCTTGCCTTCCTGTATAAGGGCTGTCCATGAAGCAATTCTGACCTTCCGGAAGGGGTCCTGCCACCAACCCAGGCAGAAGACATGCCAGAGACAAACAATCTAGACAGATAGGCATAGGTGGCTTTCCCAACTCAGTCTATTAGCCTTAGGCCATATCCCTCTGTCCATTCACAGACCTACATGGCTGTCCATGCATCATTAAACCTAAGTAGGAAAATAGAAAGTTTTGTTTCTTCTTGGGTCTTCATTCTGAAGGTTCCCAAGTCAAATTTTGATAGCATTTTGAAAAACAAAGTATCTGGGGTTATAGTCCTGTATGGAGGCACCTCTTGGTAGGGAAATTGAAAAGGAAATCTGTCTCAAAGCAGATGATCCAGAGTAGGTGTTGGAGAAACATCTCAGTGGGGGACCAGAAGCTGAAAGACTAAAGCAGAGTGAAGATCCAGAGAGGCAGAGTCAGCTTTTTGGTCCATAATAAGCACCTTGATGAGTGGATGGTCACAGAGAATGGCATGTTTCTCAGAGATCCGTGCTTGAATAGCATATACCTGCCTTGGTGACTTGGCCCTTCTAATAAAGGAATGAAAAATATGTTGGAAATAGTTTGATTCTCAAAGTTGAAAGCAGTCTGATCCTGGTGTTCTGGATCCATCATGTTAGCATGTTTCTCTGTGTGCATAAAACTGCATCTCAGGTGTAAGTGTATGAATTAGTAAGACATCTATGATTTTACCATGTATTTTTTTATTGCTCAAAAACTTTATTCAAACAGCTTTCCTAGGCTCACTTAATATTTTCCTTTATGTAACTATCAGTGACAAAGTGCAGTGAATCAAGCAATGTAAGCATGAGATGCGGGCCTTGTGAGAACATAGAGCACATGGAAGACCCTCGACCTCCTCCTTTGTACTCATGTGCAGCTAGATTTGCTGGTGAGCACCCACAGGGTCATTTTTGTGCATTGTCTATTTGCATAGTGTCTCTTGCCTAGAAAACTTTCCCAGTCATAACAATGACTACAGATGGTGACCTGAGATAGCAAAGCAAGTCTATGATACTTTGTTAGGTTCATGACAAACTCAGCCAGCTTTTGGCTCTTGCAGAAAAGCTACAATGTTTTAAAAAGTGTTTTTTATACTAGTTAAGGAAGTTCTCAGTTCTGTATGATATAACTTTCTTGGGATTCTAAGCACTACAATGTGAAATTTATAGACAGACAACTTCCTAAGGTAATGAAGCTCAGCTTTCTGTTTTAAAACTCAGTTCTGACTTGACTGGGCTTTTGTTATACATTTTCTGCTCATGTAAATCTAACGGTATTTACACCTGGGTCTCCAAGCATGCAACATGATTGATTTTTCTATCATTTTTTTTTTTTTTCTGAGGACTCTACTGATGGGAAGATGACTATCTGGTCCTTCATTTCCTGCTAGCTTGTTGGCTTTGAATCCTCCCTAATGTTGCTGACTGTGTAAAGCCACTTCTTGAGTCCTATCTATGTCAGAGTGAGCAATACTTTACACTAATTCTAGGAGGTAGAACCAACTTGGAGGTTTTAGATGTATATGTGCTAGATTGGATAAATAAGCCACACAGGAAGTGTTCTTGGTGAAGATCATACACTAGGCAAGAAACCATGCTTAGAGGTAACATCATTGCAATCCAATGCCATAAAGAGGTAGAAAAGTTGGCATAAAATACGGGAACTATAGAAATATAGGAACCATGACAGATCATGGTGTTGCCAGAACTGGGCAGAACATGTAATTTGAGAATGTTGAGAGTTGGGGAGGACTTTGTTGTAACGGGGAGACATTCTGGGTACAGAACAGAGGAATCGTATTTTTCTAGGCCCCTTTGCCTGTGTTTGTAGGTTAGACTGTTTAGAATAAAAATTGAAGTGGAGTTTGGCAGGAAGTATGGTATGTGGAGATCAAATCCTGTCCAGGAGCACTTCATTGCAGGATGGGCCCAGCAATGCCTTGGCCAGCGTTGGCATTCATGTGGTCCTTGAGGTTGTTCCATGGTGGCCTGAAATGGCTGACCTTTACACCTCTGCTGCAGTCAGTGATTGGATGAGGGCTGCATGGGAAGGGCATGCCCTTGGAGCTGAGGCTAACCCTGAAGTTGACTGGAGGCTGCTGGCAGTGCTCCCAGCAGCTGGGGCAACATATGTTTGAAGGGGATCTGGTTGGTGCATTCCCATGCCCTCCAAATACAGTGATCTGGTGGAATTGTCTACCCTTTCTAATCTCTAGCCTGGGTTTACACAGGTGTATGCTTGGCATAGCTTTCTTGTTCTGGCCCTACCTTTCCTACTGAGCCTCAGATGGAATTGGAGCTTTAAGTACTAGGTGACTGACATGAGAGACTGAAGTTCTGAAGTGAGTAGAGAGCTGGGAGACTACTTCATACCCATGTTGGTTCTCTTAACCTAATGAGGTTCCTCTTTATAGAAAACTAACTTTTCAGAATCATTTCATGACACACAGCAAGTGCAGTCTATAGGCCTCCCACACGTCACTTTTATAGCTTAAACTAACCAGAGTAGCTCATGCTGTCTCCACGTCGCAGATGGTTTGAACCACAGGGAAGATTTACTTTATTAGTCTTGATCATAGGTAGGTCCAGGCTGTAGGACCTTATGTCTTAAATCCATCCTCAATCTTGACCCCCAGTAGTTTGCCACACTAAAAACCTATCCAAGGAAGCACAACCCAGCCAGAATGGGTCCAGTGGCTGGAGCAGAGCTATTATAGGTCCCTTATCCCAGGCTCCTGAGGTTGCATTAGGTCACGAGGCAGGAGTCCTATCTCAGTTTTCTCACAGGCAAAAGGGGCAGAGAGTTCAAAGTTCTCTACTCAGGACAAGGCAGTACTTTAAGTCTTTACTTGCCTTATGAATGTCTTCCACTTGGATCCTGAGCCCTCAGCAGAGTAAAAATTAGAATCTAAGATGGTTCTTACTGCTGATACCAGCTTAGTCATGGAGACCCCAACCCAGATGGCACTGAAGGAATGAAGAAACGAACACAAAGATAGCAAAAGTGGAAATCAGAGTGGGACATGAGGGGGCTGACAGAATTCCCAGCTGAAAAGCCCAGAGCAGACTCTGACCCACTTGCTTATTCTTTGTGAACAAGTGACTATTTTTAATGAGCAGATGTTCTATGTTTTTTCATAGAATAAAGATAAACTAGGCAGGTAGGTAGTGCCTACTTACTACTAATTAAAAATAAACTAGAAAGCATTCTTTACAAGGGAGAAATGGGGGCAGGATCATGCA